CCCACGGGGCGAGGTTCAAGCCGGGCCAGTACAGCAAGATCGACACCATCGCGGCCGACGAGAGCTTCACGCAGATGGACCTGGGCGACCGCATCCTCAAGCTCAACACCGAGGTGCGCGAGGTGGGGCCCATCAGCAGGAAAGGCTTCTACCTGGCCTTCCAGGACATGGGGGCCTGCATCGCGCTGGTGTCGGTGCGCGTGTACTACAAGAAGTGCCCGCTGACGGTGCGGAACCTGGCCGTGTTCCCCGACACCGTGCCCAGGGTGGACTCGTCGTCGCTGGTGGAGGTGCGGGGCTCCTGCGTGCAGAGCGCCGAGGAGAGGGACACCCCCAAGCTCTACTGCGGGGCCGACGGCGACTGGCTCGTGCCGCTGGGCCGCTGCATCTGCTCCGTGGGCTACGAGGAACTGCAGGGCTCCTGCCGCGGTGAGTAAACACTGGGGCAGTTTTATTCTCCTGGGAGCTTTTCGTTTGAAAAAACAAACAGCCTTGTGGTGTCATGTGCGCTTTGTGTGTTCTGTTCTGCTGCCCAGAATGGTTTCACAGTGACGTGGGAATGCTCTTTTAGGCAGTAATAATTGTAAAGAAAGCCTCAGAAACCACCAAGATGTGAGGCTGCTGTGATTTACACTGGCTTTTTAGCAAAAAGGGAGAGAAAGAGTCCATGTCTGTAAGTTGCATTAATGCCATTACTGTTTTGCTGCAGAGTTTGTCAGATTTGATGGTGCTAGGCAAGCAGCACAGCAACCTTAGCTAATGCAGAGCATTAACAGCACTGTGCATTGTAAGCAGAAAATGAGGTTCACTTTGTTGTCTGGTCTGGCTGGCATTAATTATCAGAACATAGTCGTTGCAAAGACACAATGTTGGCAGTGCCATTGCTGGAGGCATCATTTTCTACGTGAGGTCAAAAGGTTTCTCTCTTAATGGGGTAAGGATTTTCTTTGAGACTTTAATGCTGAATGAATTTGTGTCCATTATGGGAGTGAGTCACACTCTGCATCTCCCCATGAGCAGTGCAGCCAGCAGAGTTCACCACAGAGGTTTCCTGCTGCACACTGACTGCCCTGGTCTGTCCAGTCTGTCCAATCTGCTGCTGAACTGGTACCTTGGAAATGACACAGAGTTCCCAAAGCCGCAAATGTTTGCATATTCTCAGCTATTTGCCCCAAGAGCAACAGATTACCGTTTTAGATAATTGCAATCTGATGGAACTTGCATATCTTTTGAAATCATTTTCACTGGTGTCTGACGTTGTCCTTTCCCTTTTCTTCAGTGTATTTTAATATTGGTGCTACTTTTTTCTGACAAGTTTTCAAACTGTGTTTGTCTTGCATTGCTTCATGGATGCCTTGCCTAAGGCAAAGCCTAGTGCAGAAGATGCTTTCATAACCAAAGAGCAGTGATGACTGTTTCTCTGGTGCCCACTCTGCAGTGTCTCAGGTGGTGGATGTGTTTTTACACGGTGACTGTTGTGCACTGAGCTGAGATTGGGAGCAATCTTTCAAATAGCCGTAATGTCTGATTTTGAGACTTTGCTTCTTGGCTCAGGCGTGAATCAAAAGTTTAGTTGAGAAGACTTGTTGTGTCAGTAAGTCTTTCACTAACTCTTTATTACTCATCAAATCAGAAAATATCTGACTAATGCTCTGAGGGAAAATTTAAACTCTTTACGTTTAGCTTGTTGTCATAGCAGCAGGATGCTGGGGGCTAGGTGGGGGAAGAGTAGAAGCCATTACATCTTAGTCTGATGAGAAGACCTGAGATATATTTATACCATTTTCATGTCTCTTATCTCCTTCCTCCAAATCCCAACCCCAAACCCTTCTGTCCCTCCCATTCCCTTGCTGGAGTTCCAAATCTGAGTCTTGAAAGTATTTGGCACTGTTGTGTCGGTGCCTCTTGTAGTCATGCTCTGTGACATATTCAAAGGAGAGAATTATTTCTTTCCTCTGCACAAAACTAACAGTCAAAATAATGATTTTGCACTTTGAAATCTGTTTGGACAATTGGGTGACGGGCAGTACCTGCTAAGAGTTGTTTTTTTCCTACATGCAAATGGTGTCAAATTTATTATGTACCGTCACGTGGCTCAGGGGGGGAATAAGCACTTCATGGCAAATGGGGCTTGTCTGTCACACAATTTTAAAATAAATTTCTGGTTTGATACCTGTGGAGATATGCAGGCTCTCTTCAGGAACTATTAAGTGGCATAAGGAAAGAAATTCTGCCTTTGTCATTGCTCATGGTTTTGCAAAGCAGCAGGAATAGGAATAAAAACAGTCTTTGATCAGTTTTACTACTGCTGGTAAAATCAGGGGTCATTTTTAACTGCCACATTCTAGTTCACTTGCTTCCCTGACTGGCAACATTTCAGTTATTTCGATATATGTGGGGTTTATGTGTATTGCTCTCTGTCTGTGAATCCATCAGTACTCCCTATCCATCCCACTTTCTTTTAAAAGCATAAAAGTGTGAGAAGAATTCCTAACTAGTTTAAAATATCCATACTTATTCAGTGTATGCCCCGAGGTGTCTAGTCAGTTCAGAGGCACATTGATGGGGACTCTTTTGTTCATTGGAACAATCTTCCTTTTCTGAGGCTGGAGGGAAAAGTCCCATTGATTGCAGGAGATGCACAGGTATTTGTGTGTTGTGTACATTTCTTAGTGGGAAAACCTGAAAAAATACCATCTTCTCTAAACTTACTGTGTAAACAATCTGTCATCTTTGATTTCAATCTACTGCCAAGATATTCCCCTCAAAATCCTGAAATAACAGCAGCATTCATGTGTTCTTCTGTTCCTTTAGGCATTAATAAATACATTAATACCCATAATTTGGCAATATTAATCATAAATGGCTCTGATATGAACTGCTTTGCCAAATCATTGAAGCCAGCCCCATTAACAAGTGCCAGCTTAAAAAGGATTCTCATAAACATCAGTTAAAAGTGGCAGGTTCAGTGTCAGATATTTCCTGAATTCCAGCCCAGGACAAGAGTTGTGCTAAAGTTAACAAATGTGTAATGTATACAGATCAGATCAGGACTTGGTTTATGGTTTATTTACTTGAGGGTTTTTAATAATAAAATCATTAAATAGTTGCACTATTTTTTGTGAGTGAATAGTCATATAATTCATTCAGGTTTCTAACAGCTTCTTGGACAGAGGTTCACCTTTTTTTCCTGTGCTTAAGCAATGATAGTTTATTTTACATGATTTATGTGAGTCTGAAGAGCTTTAGATTTCACCATTTCAGTGGCAGGGCTCAAGACCTTTGTGATCATTGCTGATACCTGTTAGTCCCTGAAGAAACAACTCCTTGGCCTATGTAAGGACATCTGGGAACACTCAGCACGTGTTAAACTTTGAATTCTGAGTATGGATAAGATGGAATTGTGATTTTACAACTCCAGATTCAGTTTTTAGGTCAAACTGCTCAATAGGTGTTTTGAACGCGATCCAGGAAAGTGCACAGGAAAAATAGGAGTGATGGCTAGTAGGTCTGTGGGTAACAGCACAGAAAAGCAGTTGATCACACCTGATCAAAGCATCTGAATATTTTCAGCCACACATAACCAATAACATATGGAAAAAATCTGACTTTGGGAATAGGGTACATGAGAAAAAATCTGTGTTTACAGTAGATGAAAACCTGAATTCCTGTCTGTTGTGAAGGGACATTGCAGGTGCTGCTGGCAGCACTTTCATGTTCATATATCCTGGTTTTAACTTCTGAAGGCAGATCACGTGCCAAGCTGTTTTATGCTGTCTCTCTCTTCCATTTCTGCTTTTCCCACTTCCTCAGAGAGAACCATTTTTTCCTTAAGGCTCGTAATTAGCGGGAATTAAAAATAACGTTGTTGCTTAGCTGAAGCAGGAGGAAAATGATGTATGGTGGACGGGGTGAAATGCATGGGATATCAGTCACTACCAGGAAGATGAGTTTTTAGTGAGTGTATCACTGTGGAGAGGTCTGACTTGCCTGTATTCATTCACTTTGCCCTTTTCTCAACAACTTTAGGTTCATTTGCTGGTTTTTATACTTCTTTAAAGTTACATGATTCTGCCTTGTCTTTTCAGTGTCTTAGATTTTTTATTTGTTTGCTTGTGGGGTTTGGTTTTTTTTTTTTTTGGGGGGGGGGGTTTGTTTTGGTTTTTTTTACTGCAACAAAGTGTTAGGAATTAAAGAAGTCCCTAAGGGCACCTGTCTTCAGTGACTGCCTGATTTAGCAGCCGGAAAAATCTCAATACCTCATAAATTGCCATTGTAGCTCACACCCAGTCCTTTTTACTTAATCTACAACCATCTGCAGATCTGGGTAAATTGTAACAAAAAAGTCTGATAGAACAGCTGGAAAGGAGTGCTGCTTCAGAAGTGAGGGTTTAAAGAAGAGATAAAAAACTTATTTGATTTTATGTAGTAAGGAAACTACAGTGATACTAAATGAAGTTATTCACATACTTGTCATACTTACTTGCACTATTCTGAGCAAATAAAGAACCTTACAGTAGGCACTGCAACTTGATTTCCAGAATATTTCACTGTAAAAATTCAAATTAAAGCCTCGATTTTTCTGAATGAATTATGCACAACTAGAAAAATTAATGTTTGCAAAGTGAAGGAATGCTTGGAAATGACTGGTTTTCACTTGGGTACTGAAATGTGTGCTGTATGGAACCCTCCTTTGAGGGTGGAACAAGGAACCCAGCTCAGGTTAAACAACGAGTTTCAGACTGAAAAACTCCAATATTCTCTGTTTGTACACAAAGCCATGAACTTGGAAAGCAAAGCACTGCTGTTAGCTCAGATATGAGTTGCCTCAGGTTCTGTGTTAGTGTGTGCAGCTGGGTATTGATCCTACCACCTCTCTGATAAACAGGGGACAGAAATTGTCCAAGGGAGAGCAGGGATTGATTTTTGTTGTTGTTG